TTATAGTTAGCGTCAAAGCTGGTACAACTCAGCCTTAGACATTAGGGTCCTTATCACAAAAAAATTAACGCACCTTGAATATAGGTATTTGTTTAAATTGACATTTAATATGGAAATGTCACTTTAAACCAACGTTCAAGGCGCATTTAACTTTTCTATAATAACACTGTAATCTTTTCTCCTGGTAACGTAAAATCTGTGTCATTGAACGTGAAATATATCGCATGGCTGATGTTATAAAATATTAAACATCAAAATCAGTGACTACCATGCAAGTGGAAATTTCAATACTAGTTTCCATCTCACCGTGGATAATGAAATTTATATAAATTACTATAAATACATGTAAACTAGCACAATACGTATGTAATTTGATTTCACGCTGCATTAGTCGAAACATTTTACGGAACAATGCGGAACAGAGCAGTGGAAATAATTAAAGAAAAAGAAAAACTTACAATACGACAGATGTATGAGCAGGACATGAGCTACTGCTTACGTAATTAAAAGTAGCAAAAGGTAGGTAGGTGTTTTACTCGTATATAAAAACGAGTACAAACTGACTGCTAAATCTGGATTATGTTTGTAAAACTACACTCAACATCAAATAAACCGCACCTTCCGCGACGCGAACTTTAAAGATTTTCTTCTGACACAATCATGGTACCCCAACAATATTGGTGTTATTTGAAATCCCAATAAATATCCTTAAAGAAAAATACATTTCATTTCTAAATAAATGATTAACACCCATAAATGTGACTTGAAAGAGGTCTATTTTTAAGTAGACTTTGGGCTCACCTCTGGGATCAATTAGACCAATTTTTATGGTTATAAAACCAAATAAAGATCTCACGTGTCCTCTTTAAGAGATGGATAGCGATTAATCCCAACTTAATAGTTTTATAGTCATAAAAAATGGCTATAGCGTAACTACCTATTTTTTGAAGAAGTGACTCTGGATCCTTGTAAAGACACATTTTTGGGGTAAAAACCTTTCCTTTAATGAAATTAAGTTTAGAACTAGGCTTTCAAATGGTACCAACGTTGGTGGGAAGTGGGGATGCATACGTTTGATAAGTGCTTGTCGCGGGAGGTGCGATTTATTTGATGCCGAGTGTATGATTTACTTAGTAAGAAGAGGGCTTTTAAAATAGTTAATATACTTGTCATTAAGTACTTATATTATTACTGTGACCAGTTTTCCTGAAAATTTATTTGTATTTTGTTACATTTCATTTCTGAATGTTCATAGCCAACCAAAACAGGACAACTTTATTTACAAACTCATAAAACTCATTTATATTTATAGCAAATAGGCTTTTATAAAGCACTTTTACACGTCCCAATTTTAACCCTACCACTGCTTCGGGACAATAAATGAGCCAGTGCTGACAAGAAGCAAGAAACTCAGTCACTATTGTCATGTATTTGAAGTCATAAATACAATCAATTTTCTCGGATTACGGCAAAGAAGACCTCTCCTTGAAAGAACGACTAGGTACATAAAATAATTAATATTTAGGTAGATATTTCCCTACGTAGATGAGTTTATAAACACCCCAACCAATGTCACGTAATTACCAACTATCACAGCGATCGGTTTGATTGCTGTCCGGGGTTCGTTCCCGGCCATATCACGGATTACGGACAAATGCGCCTCATTTCGTCAATATCGGGTTAAACATCGCTTAATTTGGTGCATTTCGGTTCATTTTGGACAAATTCCATGCAGTTTTATTGAGGGATAAAAAGCAATGCGTATTTGCATTGCGCGGTTTGTAACTGGCCTCATTTGATGGCAATTGGAGAGTCGCGTTTAAATAGGTATGATTTGGTAGGTATTAGTTAGATATGCACAATAAGCAATAATTTGTTACAAAATACTGATTATACTTAATTTTTGATAACGCATTTTAATTATGGGTTCTATTTGGGGACTTTTAATGTAGGCAATAATTGATTTCAAAATGTCTATAAAAACACATTTCCTCACAGAAGTTAAAAAGAAGAAGCTAAAATTTAACTTGTACTATAACTACGGGATAAAATTAGATAGGTTATTACGTTTTAAAACTCTACATTCCTAACACATTCGTTAAAGGACTGTCATAGCGGTGTTATTGTTTACTTAAAGTACTACGTTACGTATTACGTAAGTACTTACTGGGACAGATGATATTTTTCCTGAAAAACCACCACTCTAAGATAGTTTTGGGAACGTTCCTTTTCGCTATTCACAGAATATTGTGAATGGTATTATGCCTATTGGGTCTGTCAACAACTAATAGTTTTACCACATTTCATTAACCTCAGCGCGGATTCGGCGGGATTTACCGGCGGCTTTTTCGGCGGCGCGATTCGGCGGGCGATCAAATCGGCCATTTATTTGTTCGCGCGCACTCGTCCGTGCCGGATAACGGATGTGTGTGGATACGCAGATATGATCGGATGTGTGCTTTATGTGGAATTTGTTTATTTACTTTGTAATCTGTCAAATGTTAGCTAAATAAAACTAATAATTGTAAGTATTGTTAGGGCGGTCTTACGAGACTGTGCCTATAATTATGAGGCTTGTAAGTGATTATATGGATATACATAGAATAGATATGAATTCTCTTAAATTCTCTCCCAATTAATCGAAATCCAGCGAGATTTTTCCACTTTTTCGGCGTTCCGGCGCGCTCTGATCAAATCAACCGTTTACTTGTGCGCGCTCACTTGAGCGTAGTTATCAGAGGCAATATATAGCTGAAGCATTTAATAACATGTACATTTTGTTGCATTGCTTGAATTGGCATACCTACTCTACAAAAGCATATCAATGTGTCTTATCACTAGGTTACTACAGCTGCTTATCAGCTGCTCAGTCCAGTTTATATGAACAACTTTTTCTTTCCCAGTATGTACAGCAAAGTACAGTGACAGGTTACAGGTGTTAAGGAGAAACTGCACAAAAACTTTTTCTATATTTTGTAAATAAGCATAGTCTGATAGCCTAGATCCCAAGCCGTAAGTGTGTATAAGAATCCTATCTAATTAGGTGAAAAAATTCTACAAAACATTCAAGAACAACTGAACCGCTCATAAATCAAAGGCCGACCGTGAATCAATAAAACAAATAAAATTAAACTGTCGCATTAGGCTGATTTACGTGAGTTTTGATTGGAGTTTCCTTATAAATAGTGGGGACATCTAGTGGAGGTTACATTGTGTCATCAACGGTGAACATGAGGTGCTTGATCGTTCTAGCAGTTGTGGTCGCCGTTGCCTCCGTGGAGGCGAGCTCCGTGGGCCATGGTGGTAATTATTATAATAAAAATACACCTATTTACAAAGCTAACAGTAAGGGACCCTTGGAAAAGTTTGAGGTGAATAAATGTTATAGCTATGTCGAACGTCATTTGGCTAAAACGAACGAAGCAAATGTAGAGTCGATAGGATATATCAGACTAGCGGCCACCCGCGACTTTGTACGCGTGGATCCCGTTTTACCCCCTTAGGGGTAGAGTTTCGTAAAATCCTTTCTTAGCGGATGCCTACATCATAACATCTACCTTATGCCAAATTTCAGCCCGATCCGTCCAGTGGTTTGGGCTGTGCGTTGATAGATCACTATGTCAGTCAGTCAGTCAGTCAATCAGTCACGTTTGAGTTATATTTAGACTTATAATAGTACATTTTGGTTGCTAATCGTTCCTATAGCAACTATTTAAGATGTTGATATTGCATCATAGCAACAATCACAAATAGTCTTGTTTTAGGTAGGTACCTACACATGCCATCGTCTGAAAATAAGGTCTCTCAAACGCAACGTTTTCACGTATTCAAGCGTGAATCGATACACCAAAATGGGCGAGTTCTTACCGAACGCAACAAGTCTCTTGTACATTAAAAAGTGCACCAAAAAGCCTAACTGCATTTATGACTAGCGACGAAATGACTAGAGTGTGACAAACTACTTACTCTGAAAAAGCAATTTTTCCTATATTAAAAATCTAAACCAACCCTAATTATTATGTGTTTTTTTAGCAAATAGATGAAAATAATTCTTTCCCCTTTCAGCCGGTGTAAGTTCGTCGAAGAACTCTGACAAGTACTCCAGTGACTACGACGATAGCGCTGAGGTCTACGGCGCAGGTGGTAAGTACTTTTTGAACTACATAAACCCACCTAAATTCTAATTCTTTCTATATATCTAGGATACTTATCTATCGATCATCATCATCATCATTTCAGCCATAGGACGTCCACTGCTGAACATAGGCATCCCCCAATGTTTTCCATGTTGATCGATTGGTAGCGGCCTGCGTCCAGCGCTTCCCTGCTATCTTTATGGTGTCGTCGGCCCACCTATCTCTCGATGATGGCTCAAAAACTTTCAAATTCAAATTCAAATATTTATTTGCACAATTTTGGGTAAAAATAGTGGTCTTAAAACTAGTATAAGTAGGTAACACAAAGGTTTATCCTGATCTCACTTAATAAAAGGTTTAAAAAATTATTGTCTTAAATATGTTTAACTTTATACAATTAACTTGTATAATTTCTTCACAGTAAGCTCTGGAAGCAGCAGAGGAGCTGGCCATAGGAACAAAGGCAAGTATTTCGATTATTTGGTCACTTATTCAGTTCGACTTCTAAGTCGAAAGAAGGCTTACTTTCATGAGACGTATAGTAGACGTTTCAAATAATCAAGCGAACAATTTTCATATTTGTAATACAAAGAATGTGCCTAAAAATACATTTAAACTCATTTTGTAGACATTAGGCAAATGAAGAAAATATTTAAATATTTAGTAACTTTCTAATAAACCTGCAATAAGAACTAACACCACGAGTTGTTCTTTATTTACAGTTTATGGCAGCTCCGGCAGTTCAGGTAATTTAGTAGAGTGTAGTTGGACCAATAGTAGAGAACAAACAGTGTTTGAAAAATGATAAAATAATTTAAAACAATGTTTTGTTACAAATAGGATACGGGGAAGTATATGACAGCAATGAAGGAGGTAAGTTATAAGTGAAATTAAGAAATAAATTTAAAAAAAATAACTTATGATAATGTTTTTTCTGACGTCGACGACCTGGTAAAGGTCGCGGGAAGAGCCTGGATGCGGGCAGCGCAGGACCGTTCATTGTGAAAAACCTTGGGGGAGGCCTTTGTCTAGCAGTGGACATTATTTGGCTGAGACGAACGAACGAACGAATGTTTTTTCATCTATGTCGGATCCTATTTACACTGAGGTTTCGTTTACTCGTATTTTTAATGATGAACGAGAATGTAATTAAAATATTTGTGATTTTTAGTGTCGGACAGGAAAGTGAACAGCAGAGGAGGCAAAGCCAAATGTAAGTTGACACCAATAACAAACGATTCCAAGATACCTACACTTTCATAAAAAACACTCCAAAATAATTGGAGTCAATTGATTTCGCATACATGACGTCATAATTCAAACTTAATCTGGCGACGATTAACAAATGTTTACCTAGTTTCAATATTTTACTTTATTGCAGACGGCGCCGTTGGTGGCTCAGCCAGTTCAGGTACTTTGAAATTTAAATTTTTCAATTGTTTCATGTTTTTGTGTTAATACACAAAAACATGAAACAATTGAAAAATTGTTATAAACTAATGTTTATAATGATAAAATACTTATAAAGTTTGGTTTTTACAGTGCATGACACCGATGACGAAAATTATGGCAGCAGGGGCTCTGGAGTGGCAGGTTAGTTCATTTTATTCGAAAAAATCTTTTAAATATCAATATTGTCATTTAAAAGTGAACTTAACGGTTTCATTGTTTTATAGGATACGGCAGCAGCAGTGGCTCTAAATCGGGACACTCACGTGAGTTTAAGTTTGTTATTTACTACTTGACTATGGACTTACTACGTACTTGATTATGGAGTAACTAGGTATCACTTTATTATATTTTTTTAAAGATTATTAGCAATTTGTGAATACAAATTACTGTTAACTCCTCATGGTAAGCTAAATGTGCTTGTGATACCAGTAGGTTGTCTTTATTTATTATTTTTTATATACTCATAAAAACTACAATATAAATTGCTTTTCAGACTACGGTGCCGGCGCAAACTCAGGTAATTTATAAATTAATACTTAAGAGCAAAAGTATGGAATCACACACAAGGGGTGTTCTTTTGAGTGATTATAAGAACTATGTATATGAAATCTATGAAATGCTTATATTTTTATTTATCAGGTGATCCGTTTGCTCGTTTGCCTCTTACATCATAAAAATATCTTCTTTCAGTCATTTATTTATTTCTTTAGATCGCTCGAAAGATATAAGGTAATTCCATATTTTTTCTCGCGAGTGTAGTCAACTTCATTGACCTATAATTACAGCCACTTTTAAATTCAAATTCGGATTCACTATAGGTACGTATTACAGCCCTTTTCAGAGTAACACAATACATGTGTATTTAATTAATAAGTTAACTAAAAATATATTTCTTTGTAGGATATGGCAGCGACGACGACGACTCTGGTAAGTTTCACAGACAGCTTCAACATATTTTAATAAATATAACATTTTCGCTATTGATTTTAAATCTTATAATTAAATGATGTAAAGTTTCGCAATTTTTATTGGCGAAAGTCATCTTATTGTTTTTCCTGATAATATTTCAAAATCATCCTTTTAGAGCTCCTTTTACAAAATTGGCGCAACAGGTTTATAAAGAAAAAATAATATAAATGTGAAGGAAAAATAGTTAGATATTTAGATAGAAATAAGAATAACAGATTGTGGTATGGTTTTAGGATACGGAGCCCAAGCTGCGCGTGGAAGGAGCAAATCAAGTACGTCCCTGAACATTTATTGTATTGCTATACATTTATACTGAATTAAAAATTACACAAAGTTTTAGTTTTTTACAAAGTATTTAAATATTGTTTCAGGACACGGAAAGGGTAAATATAAAGTTGAATAATCTAAGTCATGGGAGGACGCAGTACACAAGTATCATACTAAATCAAACTTTGTCAAAATATTGAGTCTGCTATAAGAAAAAGGACAAAATGTTGATATCATAAATCTATGAACTGTTTTCCAGGTCGAGGCAGAGGAGCCAGTTCCGCTAGCGGCTGTAAGTAACTTTAAGAAAATAAGTAACCATAGTAGATTGTTTTAACCCTTTATACTGCTGGGAAAATAGTTCCCACTATAATGTATTTTGAACATATTCCCTTGCAACCGCTATCACGCTATAGAAACTTATTTAACTTTACATATCTGTAGTCAAAATCATGCTCTTACAATAAAATACAATATTTATTTTCTAGATGGTTCTGGATCATCGAGCAATTCAGGTTTGATTTTTTTTTGTACTAGTACCATCACAACATGGTAAAATGCGTCAAAGCTTTGTTTAATTTTATTTTACTTGGGTGATAGTAAATAAATGAATAAATTTCTTTTACAGGAGTTTCCGAAGGTCGATACGGATACAGTTCGGATAGCAGTGAAGGTATTTATTAATTTAGTATTGAATACCTATACAAAACTTTTGCCCAAGAATATTGGAAATTAAATTAGAAACTTTAATTTATTCCATTTAATGTTATTTAGGATACGAATCAGGCGCTTATGGACAAGGCCAAGGAGCATACCGTGGTAAGTAGATATTTGCCAAAAGACTTTAATATAAACTTTATAGAACTATGTGGGTAGGTACCTAGACTATTAGGAATTAGTAAGTTACCAATAGTAATTAATTTTTAACCTTACAATAAAGGCAACTTAAAATGTTTCATTTTAGCATTCAGTGCACCGCAAGACGACGGTTGGTATACGACAGCAAGATTTTATAAATTCCGAATTAAATATTTACAAAACATCTTTGAAAGTTTGCTAAATACTTTAACAAAAAATATTTCAATATAGCAATTCGGGCAGCCATTAGCTACAATCCAGAATATGCTGCATATTTAACTAATCTTATCAACGAGATGCACCCAGGTAGGCTGGTCTTTGTTTCAATGTCTCATAAAGCAATAAATAAGGTTATCTTAGAATGAAAATATTTATTTATCAATATTATATTTCAGATATTGCTGAAAGAGTTGGTCGGTATTTTTTTTCTGTTATGTGTCTCAATTAAAGTGGGTACTTTTTATTCAATTAACTAGCAATCAGCAATATTGAATTTTCTCTAAAAGTAAATTAATTTTTCAGCGTACTACTATGATAATCTAAGGCCAGCCTCCTACTTATCTCGTAGACGCGACAACACCGATAACTTAGGTACCTACCCAATAATTGAACTTTATTTAGTTGATAACAAACTAAAATGTACGGATATTTAGGTAAAACAATAAAAAACAAAATATTTACTTGGAAAAAGATATGTACCTAAAATATTTTTTTTTTATTAATAATAATAATAATTTTGTAAAACCGACATTCGCTCCACTTATTCAATTTAATTTGCTATATTTTAAATATTTCATTCACAGATGCCGACGATGACAGCTATGAAAGTTCAGGTAAGTAACATTCAACTTCTTTGTAATACAAATACATTTAGCTTACCACGAGGGGTGAATTGCATTTTTAGAAACTTGTATTTACAAATTACTAATATTCTTTATACATATAAATAAAAAAATATCTCATCTCATTGCAAGGTTCTATAATTGACTGCAATACCCTAGTAAATACTACTTACTTAGCTACTTTATGAATATTATTCAACTATGAGTTTATCTTACTATGATTTTATCTTCCGTCAGTTTATGGGAGTTCGTCAAGCCATGGAAGAGGAAAAGGAAGGTCTAGCAGCAGCAAGAATCATTGTAAGATTCATTCATTTATTTATCAAAATTAACACTTTAAATGTAACGTCAAAGACCTTAAAAATAACACTTTGTAAAGGAAACTGAATTTGATAATAACTTTTCAGATGCTGGAAGCGACGATTACGATTCAGGTTAGACTTTTTTCTATTTTTTTTGCGCCCTCGCGCGCTTCGAACTTCGGACTTAAAGCTCTATTTTAATTTGATTGAGATCAACACTGACAGAAAGATACTAAGGCTGAGTTGATAAAGATACGATAACCGGACGTTTTTGTATGGAGTTTGACAGATTTTTGACGTTTGTCAAAGTTAAAGTAAAATGGTGCAACCCAGACTAAGGCTGAGTTGCACCACCTAATTTTGACCGTAACTTTAACGATAACCAGTGTTTTTGTATGGAATTTGACAGATTTTTGACGTTTGTCAAAGTTAAAGTAAGATGGTGCAACCCAGCCTTGGTATCTAAAAGTTAAATCAATATATGAAATAACATTAATTTATTTTTATCTTAGACTCAGAAGGCGTAGGAGTGTCTGGTTATGGCAAAGGGAAGGGACGAAGCAGTGGCTACAAGAACCAATGTAAGTTACGACCTAAAGATCTGAGTCTAATGTCCGTTTTCACCATAATTTTAAAGCGACCCCTTTGAAAACAAAATTCCTGTTATGTGTTACCATAGTGATCACATAAACATTAGGGATTGATGGTTAAAACGGGCATAATACAGAGCTCCAGTAAGGAGATTATTTACAAAGTTTAAAGAGAAAGCTAATAAACATTTACTAACACGCTGAACGCAGAAAGGTATTTTTTTAAGTTAAAGGACGTAGCACACTTATCAACCCGGAAAGGGATCGTAACCGTATCAACTCGAGGCGATCAGTATTCTCTGTATGAAACTCCATAATGCAACGCACACTTATCCGCACCGTAACGTAAACGCCTCGCCTCGCGGTTGACAGCGCACGAAAGGCGATGCAAGCTCGTGTTGATCCCTTTCCGAGTTGATAAGACTGCTATGACCTTTATAATTAAACCCAAATAAAATTAAATACTCTGAGGAACTCTTGGAAGGTTTCATGACATTAAATTAATTTGTTTTCTACAGATGCCGATAGTGACGATGATGGTGAAGGCTATGAAGGTTCAGGTATTTAGTTTGTTACGTTTTAAATATTGGAATATTTATGGTAATTTTGTCCAAACTTAATTTATTTACCATTTCTATTTCAGAATATGGAGCTGCTGGAAGTGAGTAAATAGTCTAAGAAAGAAAGAAGAAAATAGTCTAGAACTAGTAAATCAAAAATTATTTGTGTTAATTTTCATTTTTTTTTTATAACTTTTGAAATTATTCGAGTTCGTTCTATAAATATTTATGTTTATTATTTTCATCAGGTCAATACGGAGCTTCTTCAAGGAGCAAAGGAAAGGGCAGAAGTGGCAGCAGCAAAAATAAATGTAATTAAACTTTTGACAACAAGATAGCGACCATGTAGTTTTTCAAAATTTCATTTATATTCACATCTGTTTAGAAAGTCTCTCCCGAATACTATAATCCGGGCCTTTTCAAGGCTAGAGTGAATAGGCACTTACAAGGCAGATAGACTGCATCTCACTTAACACAAGTGCGATTGCGGTCAAATATCTGCCTTGTTCTTGCTATTGTTGTTAATTTTTTATTTTTTCTGCAGATGACAGCAACGAAGGCTACGAAGGATACGATTCAGGTACTTTTTAATAACTTTGAATCAATATAGACTAAGAGCTAGTGAACGCACGACCTACGTAATTTTATAAAAGCTGAAAGTTTGTCAGCGTATGCTCCCAATATAGGATATAATGTTGGTGAATTATGGAGTTTGGGTCATGGTGGCTTTGGGAGCTACCCTAAAAAAACTGTCTGGCTGTTGGGGAAAATACTTCAAATTTTTGCCCAAATATTATACATAAAAATCAGATTTTGTAGTATAACGAAAGTCTAACTTTTACGATGGCTTTTTCTGTATATTCAATAGACTGTATTCTACTAATGTCATACCATAAAATCGGATTTTTATGTAACAAACAAACTTTCAGCTTTTATAAAATGACGTAGGTCTGGCGTTTTCTAGCTCTTAGTCTAATACTTCGTTGATAGTGAGGAAATAATATAATTTATTCTTTGGACATAGAGTCTGGCTCTGCATCGTCAAGAGGGCACCAACACCATGGAGGCTCAAGCAGGAGCAAGGGCAGAAGCAGCAAACACCATCGTAAGTCAAATAATTTGATAATTATAATGTCGTTCATATTTATTACTAGCGGCCACCCGTGACTTCGTACGCGTGGATCCCGTGTTAACCCCTTAGGTGTTGAATTTTGCAAAATCCCGTCTTAGTGAGCACCTAAATTCTAAAAGGAATCCCCATGCAAAATTTGAGACTCCTTGCACTTGTAGTTTCTGAGATTTCGTGATGAGTGAGTGAGTCAGTCAGTGACCTTTCGCTTTTATTGATATAGATTGAGAGAACATTCCTTTAATATAGATGGCGTCAGCGGCGCTAGCGGCTCTAGCTATGGAAGCCAGGGATACGGTGATGATGACGGTAAATATTGTAAAACGACTTAAAATTTAAAAGGTACACAGTGACTTATAGTTTCAGAAACATGCTTTTAACAAAGCACCGAAAAAATGTAAACAACAAGACAAACTTACTATTAAAGAAGTATTATTGAAGAACAATGAATAATATAAAATGTTTTTCTTGTTGTGACAGAAGAAGCAGCGGCCAAACAAGGTAGAGTCCACGTGCACAAAGCAAAAGGTCACCAGTAGAGCTCAGTTCAATAAACAATCCCTTCAGTAATATAAATTAATATTTATATATTATACAACAAATACTGCTAAATTTTTATAATATTTTAAGCCTATGCTCACGCCCAAGCCCAGTCACAAGCTCAAGCTTCTGCAGGTAAATATGTTTTTTCTTCAATGTTTAATTCAAGTCAGTATAATCTATATTTATAAAAGCGAAAGGTCACTGATTGACTGACTCACTCACTCATCACGAAATCTCAGAAACTACAAGTGCTAAGAGTCTCGAATTTTGCATGGGGGTTCCTTTTAGAACTGCTCACTAAGAACGGATTTTACAAAACTTCACCCCTAAGATGGTAAAACGGGTGCCACGCGTACGAAGTCACGGGCGGCCGCTAGTATCACTTAAAAGTCATAATACCTACCTTCCAACTTTATAACGTAATCAATTTACAACTTTATACGTAATAGATGTAATTGAACTTTTGAATTTTTTGAACCTAATTCTTGTCATCATTGCATACATTATTTGTTTGTGTAAAGATGTTTTGTTAGATCTTAATCAATAATATAAAAATATTAAAATAAATAATTGATAAATTGATCAAACAGAAGACTTTAGAGATAGATATACTTATAGTTTTTCGTATAGAAATTTATATTTATCTCTCTATTTTAAACAGGTACCTATATGAAAATACACGGAGATTTCTAGATCAACAAAGTTTAAATTATTGTATTCTGAGAAATATTATCCTGCTTTCGCCTCCGNGCTAAGAGTCTCGAATTTTGCATGGGAGTTCCTTTTAGAACTGCTCACTAAGAACGGATTTTACGAAACTTCACCCCTAAGATGGTAAAACGGGTGCCACGCGTACGAAGTCACGGGCGGCCGCTAGTATCACTTAAAAGTCATAATACCTACCTTCCAACTTTATAAATACGTAATAGATCTGATTGAACTTTTGAATTTTATGAACCTAATTCTTGTCATCATTGCATGCATTGTTTGTTTGTGTAAAGATGTTTTGTTGGTATCTTTATCAATAATATAAAAATATTAAAATAAATAATTGATAAATTGATCAAACAGAAGACTATAGAGATAGAAATATATAGTTTTTCGTATAGTTTATATGTATGTCTCTAAATTTTAGACAGGTATATGAAAATACACGGCGATTTCTAGATCAACAAAGTTTAAATTATTGTATTCTGAGAAATAAAATGAGTAAAAAAATATGTTTTAGTAGAAATGTAATTAAACACTTGACATTTTTTGACAGGTTCTCAAAGATCGGCCGATCCAAATAATGCTGCAGGTGCGTTTTTGAATGTATTGTTGTTCAGGCGACGGCACATCAACCAAAAAACTGTGCATCTTATACAGCTGTACCTAATAGTGCCAATTTTACAACAAAATGTTACGATGTGCCATCGGCTTTATTCATCATCATCATTACAGCCATAAGACATCCACTGCTGAACATAGGCCTACCCCAATGATTTCCATAATGCCCTGCAACCATCGGCTTTATTAATTCATTTTATTATTTGATTTTTGGAAGAAATAGAAGTTACACCTGAGTGAAAGAGTATTGCTGACGTTTTATTTCCTATTTCAGGAGGAGAGGCTGCTTCTAGAGGTAAATTTACAAAAAATATTAATGTTCTTTTATTGCTAAGTATCTGACTAAAGTACAGTAAATTTATTGATAACAGTATTAGATAAATAAATAAAATCTGTAAATTATTTACTTTAATAAACATATTTCTAATAAAATGAATTAAACTTTTCCAGCCGGTTATTCACCATTTCAGCCTGGATTAGGTGAGTTTATTAGTTTTATTGTTCATAATATTTCTTATTAAATGATATTGAAAACCAATTGGTAAGCCAAGCTATGTATATTTAGGACATGGAACGCGAAAATTTAAAATACCCAGCATGATACATACTTATGTACCTAGGTAAAGTTAGCCTCAAAATACAATCCCTAAAGTACGAAATTTGTCCGCTTTGATGTGGTAATTTTCTACAAAAATAAACTTCTATGTAAAATTCAACAAAACAGAGAATGCTCAATATTTTACGTTCCATTTTAAGCAATCACAGTAAATTATAAATAACTTGAAAAATCTTGAAAAAATACCCAACATTGTTGGAACAAACGCTAGCCGTAACAGCTTGAACTTGAAAATTTCGACGGGTTCATCCAGTGTATAAGGGCCAGAATAGACGGTGAAACGCAACTGCAACGAAACTGAAACTGCTAGTTACTTTTGAGTTGCATCTAAGTTTCTGCCATAGCGTCTGTTGAGAGACCACACATGAAGCGACCAGTTTGAAACTTTCAGTTTCAGTTTCATTCATCAGAATCATCAGAAAGTTGCAGTTTCGTTGCGTTTTACCGTCTGTTCTGGGCCTAAGTAGGTTCAATTCCCGCCTTAGGCAGTTCGATTTTTTCAAGTTGTTTATAATTTTTAAATGAGTTTGAGATGCAACTCTTAACGCTAAAAATTCAATAACTATATTATTATAATCACAGTGAAGGCACGGGTGAAGGCGTGACTAACAAATTGTCTCGTTTTCAGGTGGAAAGGTGTCTTGTTGGACAGACGCAGATTGCCAATATCCCTGCTCAAGTTGTAATGACAGTTCATATTTCTGTTATACTAACCCAGGCCAACAAGGCTACTGCATGTGCATGCCTTACATGTATTGACGTTTCAGAAACAGTACCTCTGCCTCCACATCACGATAAGAATCTTTCGACCACTGGAAGTCTTTTCAACTACTCGATTATTCTATGACTGCTAAAATCTCAGTAAATACCAGCATTTTTTTTTTGCAATTAGACTTGATATCCATTGTATCTTTGAAAAATATCCTGGGCAAAGGGCTATTTTATCTTATACATATATACTTATATACGTGTATGTATTGCGATTCATTATGTATTCTTGTTAATAAAGTTTATTTATATGAAATGTGTTTTTACTTTCCTTACCCATTAGTATAGGATGGAGGTATCTCCAACTTAAAACACTATTACTAAATTCAATAGGTTATTAATATTATGTATTTTCTGATACCTAACTACAGGCTGTAANGCTGTAAACGATAAGTGCTCTCGCTCGATTATTTCAAAACTATACAAGACTAGCGGCCGCCCGCGACTTCGTACACGTGGATTCTGTTTTACCCCCTTAAGGGTGGAGTTTCGTAAAATCTTTCTTAGCTGATGCCTATGCCAAATTTCAGCCCGAGCCGTCCAGTGCTTTGGGCTGTGCGTTGATAGATCACTATGTCAGTCAGTCAGTCAGTCAGTCAGTCAGTCAATCAGTCAGTCAGGCAGTCAGTCAGTCAGTCAGTCAGTCAGTCAGTCAGTCAGTCAGTCAGTCAGTCAGCCAGTCATTCAGTCAGTCAGTCATTCAGTCAGTCAGTCAGTCACCTTTGAGTTATATAATATTTAGATGTTTTTTTTACTTTATAGTAAGTACACAGATGATCAACTAATTCACAGATTTATTTCCATGTGATAGTTTAGTTGGCGAAGACCTTTCAAAGTTGAGACAAAAACAATAAGTATACTTGAGATCCCTATAAGTCATGAAATAATGCCGTTTACTTGTTTTATGAAAAAAAAAACTATTAATCTCTAAATTCATATACCTAATTTCTAAGATGATGTACAATCGCACACTTCAGACTACACGTTTAAATATTGCAAATTCAAATTCAAATTGTGTTTTTGTGAAATCACATGTAGGTACATATAATAAGTCAGGTCATAAAATTGTTATAAGAGATCAGCTGTGTTCCGCCGCATGGGCATACAATAATGGAAAGATTACATTTTTAAGAAATTAATAGGTAGTACAATTTATAAAACACAATAAATGATATTACCATTCTTAGTCAATGAT